TTGAGAACACTGGACATTCAGTGTCTCTTTTCTGGCTTACCTCTCCCCATCTTGGGCATCATGTTTAGGTTTTGTCTCTAGAGCACATCTCAGAGCCTGCTACGGGTAAACAGGCCAGAAGTTAAATGCATGAAACATTCAAGTACATTCTTATTGGTGTAATTAAAATAAAAAACTAAATGCATGAAACAGAAGCTGTTTACCCACAGTGGAGGAGGAGCAGAAATCATACCCAGTGTGCCATATCATTACTGCCTGCCAGTGTTTCCTTAGGGTATTTTATTATTTTTGTTGAGATGGAGTCTCACTCTGACTCCCAGTCTCGAGTGCAGTGGCACGATCTCTACTCACTGCAACCTCCATCTCCGAGGTTCAAGCAGTTTTCCTGCCTCAGCCTCCCAAGTAGCTTATAAGTGCCAGCCACCATGCCTGGCTACTTTTTGTATTTTTAGCAGAGACAGGGTTTCACTATGTTGGCCAGGATGGTCTCAAACTCCTGACCTTGAGTGATCCACCTGCCTCAGCTTCCCAAAGTGCTGGGATTACAGGGGTGAGCTACCATGCCCCGTCTTCCTTTGGTTATTGAGATGGACAAAGAGTTACCTAGTAAGTTGAGAGCAGCTTGTTTTTAATGAATCTTAGCCCAGAATACAAAGCAGGGTGTAGCAGTTGCCTTGATGCTGATATAATTGTAAACAATGGCTTTTTCTTCCCCTATAAACTCAAGTTACAGGAGGCGTTTCAGAGAGAGGATAAGACATTTGAATCTATTTTTTAAAAATGCACCCTGAAAGCTAGCAGTATTGTTGTCATTTAAAAGGTTTCTCATAGACTCTTACCCTCAGCCAACCCACCATGTTTATCAATTCAAATTCTAGAACTTTCTTGACCCAAGAGATTTTGTAGGAAGAATTTCTCTTTTCAGATATTCAGCACGCAAGGATCATTTTTCTTGGTTTTGTCGCTGATCTTGCTGAACTTTCCATCAATGGCTGAGGGAGAAAGCCCACATGGTTCTTAGGAGTTCTTCTGAGGCACTTTGACTGTGATCTGTAAGGGGGACAGAGAACTGTTAGATCTTCCTGTTTCCCTGTGATCTGTAGGCATTCTCAGCTAGTTGCTGACTGAGTGTGAGCAGAAAGGGCTTTTCTTTTTTTCCCCCAGGCTGGAGTGTAGGAGTGCAATTACAGCTCACTACAGCCTTGACCTCCTGGCTCAAGCAATCCTCCCACCTCAGCCTCCCAAGTAGCTAGAACTACAGGCATGCACCATAACACCCAGCTAACTTTTTGTATTTTTATTAGAGGTGGGGTCTCACTATGTTGCCCAGGCTTGTCTTGAACTTCTGGGCTCAAGTGTTCCGCCTGTCTGGGCCTCCCAAAGTGCTGAGATTACAGGCGTGAGCCACCACACGTGGCCTGTAACTACGATTTTGATGAACAGTTATAGGTCAATGATGTCAGAATTTCTATTTCAAATCTGGGTCTTGCCCCTGGAGCTCCAAGCCCATCTCCCTAGATGTGTTCTCCACATCACCTCTTGGGTTTGGACAGGTACCTCAAACACAACCCTAAAGAGAACCACAGTACTTCAGTGTTCTCTATCATAGGACTGGCGTCACCACTCAACCCCTCCTTGGAAACCTGGGCGCCATCTTTGATTCCTAGTTTTGCTTTTCCTCTCCATATCCAGAGTCACCAATCCTACTCCTGGCTTCCCGTCACATATACCCTCTTTTCTCCACCTGCACTGCACCACTCCAATCCAGACCACCATCATCTTTTTCCTTGGAGCAGTCTCCTGACAGCTCCCTCATCGCCCCTCTTACCAGATGGTCCATTCTCCCTATGGCAAGCAGAGTGACGTTTCTTACATATTTTTTTTTTTTTTTT